ACAGGTAAGCTGGCCAGCCACACTGCTGTATATTGTTCTGGGATTAAGGAAATCTGCCATGTGCCACTTGGATTGTTTTACTAAAGTACTCCTCAGAATTTCCCTACCTGCTTCCTTAAATCGAGCATTCTTCTCAATCATGAGACATCTCTGCTGGTTGTGGCAAACTATTATTCATTTGGGGTGGATAGATTTGTGGGCATTAGTTAATAATATATAGAATGTTACATTATTTAACTAAATGCCCTTGAGATAGTTTCTAAGCTCGTGATACAACTTGAAGCTAGAGGTTGTGTCAGTAAGAAATGTCATCTGTTTCTCTGTGCAGGTCATTGTTGTTGGCATAATCAGGCAAGCAGAAAAAGCACCAACAAACATTCTCTACAAAGTGGATGACATGACCGCAGCCCCGATGGATGTCAGGCAGTGGGTCGATGCAGATGTAAATATCAGTTTGTCTAAACTAAGAGAGCCAGCATAATGTTATAGAGTTCCTGACTAGAACTGGGGAGACTTGGTGGTAGGAGACTTGCCTGGCATCTTACCTTTCCCTCCTTTTCCTGTGCAGCAGAAGTAGAATACATAATTTAAAATAGGTAAATAGTTCAAATTTGCTTGATTGAATTCTTAATGCAAGTTACATAGAATTTAACTTCATTTGGTGCAGAATATTTTTAATTTGGCCTAGTGTCTGTCCAGTCCCTGCCCATGATTGTTCCACAGGTTTGTGATCAGGCAATGATGTATTCTTGCTTGTACCCATTGCAGCAGAAAAACTTGTAGGGAAGCAGTCATAAAAACAAGAGGAGCCCTTCTGATTGGACTATGCAAACTACTGTCATCTCTCTAACTGTGCCATAATTATGGAAAAGTGAGAAATTGTGTTTTGAATGGCTTTACCCATATTGTTATAAGTATTCTATATGATGGTTGTTAAAACACTTTTCTCAAGTTTGATTACCAAATTGCTGGTAAAGGCCAAGAAACCACTATCCTATTCTCAATTTTATTATACAGGAGGCAGGTAGTGAGAATGTTGTGGTGCCTCCTGGAACATATGTGAAAGTTCTAGGCCATCTGCGATCTTTCCAGGTAAGAAGACAAGATTATCCATTACTAATATTACTCTTCCCTCCCACACACCAAAAGGACTAAGCCTTGCTATACAGAGTCCTGTTCATTTTTTGTGTGACTATTAATTACTCAAGTAGGAAGGATCTGTGCTCCTGTGAAATCAGTCCTTGATACTTAATTTGAAATGTGTTCCTCCTTGGTTGGGAATTGCATTGTATTTAGTTTATTAGTAGATACACTCTAGCTTTGTTGCGATGGAAGACATGCTTCCAAGCCTAATATACCCCTCCCCATTTTATTCACCACTATATAAAATATAGTGTCAGAACAAGTGGATTTGGCATATGTGAAAACAATATTCCCTCTAGAGAGAGAATATGTTTTGTCAACTTCTGGTGTACCAAATTCATTATAATTCTTTGAAAATGTTGATTAGTAGTGGTTCATTTACCAGTGTATTCTTTGATGCAGAAGACTCTTTAAGATGTGGGGCTAGTCCTCCACAAACGCTGAAAATTTGAGCTTTGGCTTTAAAAGGGAGAGTGAAAGTTTCTTAAGATCATGAAGATAATTAGGAAAATGCACTCAACCATTGTTTTAAGATGCCACTAAAATTAGCGGGGAGCACATTTACATTTTTTTAAAAAGTTTGTTTCCCCCTATCACTAATGTAAAAAATTTAGAAGCTAACATTTTATCTGTAAGTTGCCTTGAGTCCCTGCCAGGAAAAAGGCAGGGTATAAATAAATACATAATAGCATTACCTGGGCAATAACTGTTCAGTGAGATGTCATTTGTTTCCTTTATCACAGAACAAGAAGAGCCTGGTTGCATTCAAGATCCTGCCGCTTGAAGATATGAACGAATTTACCACGCACCTCCTTGAAGTCGTAAATGCCCATATGATCCTCAGAAAAGGCAATATGGTACATGTAGAAACGAGGCGCACACTACCCTTTTCATGGAGGGCAAACAACTTTGAAACATTTGATTGAGCGGCAGAGAAAGTGTTAGCGAGCAGGAGGTTTGCACTAGCACAGCCAGAGGGGCCTTGGGTCTTTTTGAGTGGCACAGACAACCTCCCAACAACCCCATCTTTTAGAATCTTGTAGTTGCCTTTCAAATGTTTTTCCCCAGTTCTAAAACTTCTAATTTCACACCTGTAGTATTATATAATAACCAAAGTTTGGTGGTTGTTCCTTTTCCATGTACCTTAGCCCATGTCAATGAAGATGCCGCAACCAGTTGGTTTGATGGGGATGGGCAACACGTCAAGCTATGGAGGAAATGGCGCCTTGCCAGTGAGTGGGCTCACAGCACACCAAACTCAGGTATGCATAAGGATGACAGGACAATTCTGGGCAGCGTGTCAGATTTCTTGTATCTCGGTCTTCCAGTGACTGCTTTGTCCGAGGTCTTGGGACCTGGGTCACTTTTGTTGCCATTTCTAATGAGAATAAAAACTCCTGGCTTTGAACTCATTGCTTTCAGCCCCTATATCTACAGAGGCAGCAGTCTGACTGCCTCTTCTGAGTTTCTGTCATGCACACAATTTATTGTACTTTGGGAATTTGCCATACAGTCTAGTCATAAATGCAGTGGGTGATAACCAATTCTAGTCATGCTAAGACTAGCCCTTTCAGTGGGTCTACTCATGAGTAAAACTAACATTAGATATCAAGCAACATAAAACACTAAAGCAGCCTTCTAGGAGTGACAGTTGGCTGTTTAGAAAGTGCGGAACTTCCCTAATTGGCAAAAACAAAACCCTAAGAATGAACTGAATTGCAACAGAGGAGATGCACATAAGCTAGGGCCTTGCTGCTTCTTTTTCATGTAAACATTGCTTAAGGTAGAGTAAAAACACTTCTTGCTGTGTTCTTCCCCTGAGATCAAGTACAGAAAGCTGCATATGAATTATTAATTCTGTCAAAATGCCCCAATTACTTTTGCAAAATTATTGTTAAAAATACATATTATTTCCAACACTTATTTTTGATCGTTTCTATTTTGTCTTTTTGTTAATAATCAAGGCAGCTAAATAAAAAATGAATACGATCAGCTAAAATGTTATAATTTGATGTGACAGTGACAAACACACAGTAATAGTATGAAATACCAAACCATCCATCATAGTATAAAAAGAATAATATCAGAATAAAATCCTGTTTGGATCATAGCTTGCTAAAGACCTTCCTGAACAGGAAGGCCTTGAATTGTTCTCTAAAAATGTGCAAGTAGTCTTTGTCAGTAGTAGTTTAACCTCTTTATTATGATTTAAAGTTAGTATATTATTCCACTGCTGAAAGTTGATTTGCTTTTGCTACACCTCTGTTTAGAATTTCAGCAGTTATGTTCATCATGACAACAGGAGGAATAACATTCTTTCTTAAAATTGTGATGTGCATTGAACGTATTTCTTAAAGCAGATCAAATATTAGTCTTGGAAGTCTATACTGCACTGCTATTTGTGTTTGGGTAACACTGTTTTATTTCTTTCTGTTCAAGATTCTGAATTTGATTAAAAGCTCCACATCTGCTGAGGGGATAAGTCTTCAGGATCTGCAGTCCCAGTTGCGTAGTATTAATCTGCCAACACTGAAGTACGTATATATAGGCAGCCTAGGCTTTTGAAAGGAGAACTTACCCAGTGTTTATCTCAATTTTCCAATTGGATCTTTTATTTCTTGTTCTCTTTTCCAGGAAAGCTGTTGAATTTCTTAGCAGCGAGGGACATATCTATTCCACTATTGATGACGAACACTTTAAATCTACAGATGCCGATTAATGCTTTGTTTAGCTATAATACCTTGGTCTAGTAAACTGTTAGACCAAGATCATCATATCTGAACTGAGCTGAAGTGTCCTTTGAATTTGACTGTTATGGAATAAGTGGTTTCTGCCCAGATCAACCATCATATGATAATGCAGAAGTGACAACAAGCTGTACATTTATAGAAGGTAGTATCTTTATCTGTTGATGGTGAACTTACTATTCTGGATAGACATAAGTAGTGCACAAATTTATAATAGTATTAAGGATACACAAGCAAGTGTATGTATTTCAGAAGATAAAAATGGGCTTGATGGGAAGAACATACAAACTTATAAGTCTTTGATCGTGTTATATTTTGGGCAATTTTGGAAGTGATCACTCCACCCAGCTGTGACCCTTGACTGGTTGCCATGGTTTGGAAATGGCATGTCAGATTTCTCTATAGGTAGAAGAAAAATGCTTAAGAGTTATATATTTTTTAATTCTGAACACGTCTGTTCCCCACTGCTCTTTGAATCCCAAGTAGCCTTTTTTCAAGAAATATTTCCTATCTCAATAAAGCTATTTTTATTTTGCATCAGTGTTTCTTTGTCTTTTGTTGAGAATAGTTGATCATGCAATTACTATATATAGCTAATGCAAGGGTGGGGAACTTCTCGGTCTGGGGGACTCTGGAATCTAGCGTGGCATATATATTTTACTGCAGTACTGATAAGACCTAAAAGCTAGGCTTTTTTTAGTGTGGCATAAAAAGTAGTTCAGTGACATTAAAAAAGAAAGTCAGTCAAGCCTCAAAATTTAACCACCACTTGCATTTTAGTTACGCTAAAATAGACCGTTGTCAATACACAATGCAAATGCAACTGTGCAGTTTTGAAATAGGCAAAAGTCTTATGTTGAAACCCTTAACATATTTGTGTTCCCAGTACACTGGTAAAAAACAGCTGCATTTGAATTGCAGACCCATATCATTTTATGCTTTAGCACTTTTTTTTTAATGGTAGCTCTTAGGCCCCAGAAATATGTCATCTCCAAGGGAGTCTCGCAGCCCAGATAGGAGGGACCCCTTATAGTTTCTATGTACTGCATTGTGTTTGGCATGGTTGCTTTTTGCCTAAGGTTACCACTCCCCCCCCCCCCGATGAATCTGGGGACTGTCCCCGGGAAATGGGGACATCTAGTAACCTTATTCTAGCCTAACTTCAGGTCCTCATTTTACTGTAAGGGTGGGGACAGGCAACAGTACTCTTAAAAATCCTCTTTCTTGCCAAAGCTAAGTCTCCTGAAACAAGGAGATTGCCGTTTCTTCACCCTGGGTGGTCTTTGGTAATGTTGATTCCTTGCAGTGCTGGTGACTGATTTTGGAACCAGACTTCCTTTAGGTAAAGCATAAGGACACATGTGAGGCTCTAAAGACCACATTTCATACGTTGTGCTTTCTTCAGAATGGAGAAAGGGGTCATGGTCTGCCAGTTTGGGGCTTGGAAGTTATAATTACAGTCGCTCACAGTCTCTCCTGGCACTGGGCTCAAAAGCAAGGCTGCTGCTGGGCAAAAATAATGGGGGGGAAACGAGCAGCTTGTTATAGTGGCCTAGGGATGGACAAATCTGTTTCTGGTGTAATTTCACAAGTGTTCTTTCGCAAGTCCATTCTTAACCCATTTCTACATCAACCTCTGAACACGAATGCACACGAAAGCTCATACTAATAACAAACTTAGTTGGTCTCTAAGGTGCTACTGGAAGGAATTCTTTTCTATTTTGTTTCGACTATGGCAGACCAACACGGCTACCTACCTGTAACTAGAACCTCTGAACATGGTTATCTGAATATGTATTTGAGCTCAGGGTCCATAAATTCAGTGAAGTGTGCAGTATGACATTCTGATTGGTGTATTAGTCCAGGAAGTGTAAAGTTGATCATGCTTGCTTAAAAATACAGAATTCCCCTCATTCCTGAACTGGCTCTGACCATGGAAGTGGGGAACGAAAGACCTAGCCTAGCACTGTGGCTTTGTAGACAGGTATCTCAGTGTTTAATAACAGCTCTTTGCAGTTTGGAAGTCATTTCATAAACCTCCTTAACTTCTTCATAGTCATGATCCGAATCATCACTGAAAGCTGTGCCTGAAAAATAATTCATGTAAAATATTTATTATATCCCACTATGGTACTTTTGCATTCTGAAAGGTAGCATAAAAAAATAATAATAATACACACTTCAAATCAAGCAACAATTTACTGAAGGCAGCAAAAGAAAATGTAAAAAAGTCATTGCAGGGCAATTTATTCTATATCCTCAAGTGTTCTGCATTAACTGCACATTGACCTGCTGTGTAGGATTGTTTGATGAGTCAGGTGAGATTTTCACAAAGGAGGCACCACTGTAGAAATGGCTGTGTCTTGCCTAGTCTAGCTAGTTGGCAGTTCAGACAGGAAATATAACACAGGACCTTGGATCATGATTTAAAGAGCATAGCTGTCAACCTTCCCTTTTTTGCGGGAAATTCCCTTATTTCAGTGCCATTTCCTGCTGCTATCCCAGATTGTTAGATATCCTGTAGACTCCCCGGGACAGGTGAGGCTGCTGATCCCTTATTTTCAAATCTGAATGTTGACAGCGATGTTTAAAGAGGCATATAAGGATCACTTGCCATATGAGCCTAAAAAATGAGTTTGACACCTGTACACCCAGCATGAACTTAGGCCTTCAGATTCCTGCAGCAGGAACTTCACTCACTATTCCCCACAAGCAGCCCTGGTCAGCATAAATAGGTAAATTATTTTATAACACTGAGGCAGGTGAAGAAGGATAATGTTGCCTCAGCAAGAATGTGAAGCCAGGTCTCTCTCAGGCTATGTCCAGTACTCTACCATCAATACACTGTGAAGGGAGTCATGCAATTAATACAAATCATTTTTATCTACTTATTCTGTTGTCCTAGTGTTGATATCCAGGGACTTGCAGGTGAAGACCTCTACTGTTGATTCCATTAATTTCTAAGATTCCTTGCTGCTAAACTACTTTATAATTTAAAACTCCATTCTAATCTCTGATGCACAAGGTTTCCCCTTATTGAATACAGGTGCAATTGGAACAGTTTACTTGTTAAGGTGTGTCCATCCTTTTCATAATTTCTTGGGAGTAATCTGATTTCATAGGTTCAATTTCTCAAGCATTTGCATTTCTAATTGATTCAGTCTTGCAATGATATTTATCATTAAAAGTACTAGCATTCAGCCTCTTCTTGGACTTTTATCCTCATTTTCTCAACATCTGTGCTAGTCTGGCAAACTGCACCCCTGTGCTCCCAATCCATCTATTCTGACTAGGGTCTTTCACGTCATCTGCTATGTGATCTTTTAACTGCAGCTAACCGGGATCGACAAGAGCATATGCTCTTTTGAGTTATGGTCCCTTTCCCACTTAGCCTGTTTGCTCCCCTTTCCAGAGAATACTGAGCTAATGATTTGGGAGATCTAGGGAGAATTTGATTGGTTTGATATGTTCAGTGCCTTCACTGTAATTCAGAGCTGGGGAACCTCAGGCCTAGGGGCCAAATGCAGCCCTCTAAGCCAGTGTTTCCCAACCTTGTGCCTCCAGCTGTTTTTGGACTACAATTCCCATCATCCCTTGCCACTGGTCTTGCTAGTCAGGGATGATGGGAGTTGTAGTTCAAAAACAGCTGGAGGCACAAGGTTGGGAAACACTGCTCTAAGCCTTACTGTCGGGCTCTGGGCAATCTACCCAGGCCAGAGCCCTCTCTAGACTAGCTTCATACGCCCTTGAGTGTTTTTGCTTGGCTGATAAATGAACTGATAAATGACTTGCTTTCCTGGATGGAAGACAATGAGGAATGTGTGTAGAAGCTAGCTTACTCAACAAAGTATTCATTGCTCCACCCACTTTTTCCTTTGGCCCTTAGGCTGAACAAGGCTCCCCACCCCTGCTGTAGTTGTTCACAAGCAAAAAGTCATTATACCTGTGGTTTGTTTCTCGGGTTTAGAACACTCCTGGAATCTTTGACGTTCGCATTCCATGGTGTACTCATTAAGATTGTTCAGGACACTCCCGCTTGCGCCTGTTTGCTTAGGTCCAGAGAAGGGAAGTTTTGCAGGCTCTCTAGATGTGCTGCTTGACTTGCCAGAAGGTAACTGGTACAGGAAAACAGAACAAGTATTTTTCCCCCCTGAAGGCAATTTATATCTTAAGTTGCTAAGACCAGTTTAACAAAACCTACTCAAAACCCAGCCCTTAACTTCTGTCTTTAAGAAGGAAACTTAATGATTGCTTCAGAAGCCAGTGGGATAAGCTAGGTAAAGGTAAAGGGACCCCTGAACATTAGGTCCAGTCGTGACCGACTCTGGGGTTGCGGCGCTCATCTCGCTTTATTGGCCGAGGGAGCTGGTGTACAGCTTCCGGGTCATGTGGCCAGCATGACTAAGCCGCTTCTGGCGAACCAGAGCAGCACACAGGAACACCGTTTACCTTCCCGGCGGAGAGGTACCTATTTATCTACTTGCACTTTGACGTGCTTTCGAATTGCTAGGTTGGCAGGAGCAGGGACCAAGCAACGGGAGCTCACCCCGTTGCGGGGATTCAAATCACCAACCTTCTGATCGGCAAGTCCTAGGTTCTGTGGTTTAACCCACAGCGCCACCCACGCCCCTGTGGGATAAGCTACTGCACAGTAAATAAGCAGAGGCTAGCAGGCTAAGAAGAATCTTTTAGCAGTGTGTTAATAGTTGAGGGCAGAGCTGGATTTTGTGGAAAGTGCCCTCCTAGAGTGCCAAAGTGGGAAGTGGGTGTCTGGCTCAGGAAGCAAGGCGGTGGGGTTGAGGTAGGGCTCCTGTGTAGTTAGTTAATTTTACACTTAACTGAATGGTCTTATCAGGGGTGGATGCTTAAGATAGTAATTTGTATTACAGTCATACCTCATGCTACGTTTGCTTCAGGTTGCGTCCCACAGTGACCCGGAAGTACCAGAAAGGGTTACTTCCAGGTTTCGCCACTTGCGCATGCGCAGACGCACAAATTGATGTCACGTGCATTTGCTGAAACGGCGAGTCGTGACCTGCGCATGCTCAGATGCGGGTTGCGTTCTTTTCAGGTTGCGAACGGGCCTCCAGAACGGATCCCGTTCGCAACCAGAGGTACCACTGTACTTCCTGGACTTCAAATGGCCTTACAGGGGTTGAAGTTATTACTTTGCATAATTGTTGTTGGACCATTCCTGTTTATTGTGTTGAGCCATCTACCCTGCCATCCTCTGTACTGTCAGAAAGTCAGAACGAACTTTCTGAGCGTAAACACTGTTAGACAGTGGAACGGTTTCCCTTGAGAGGTTGTGGACTCTACTTCCTTGGAAGTTTTTAAGCAGCGGTTGGGTGAACATTGTCATGAATGCTTTAGTTAAGATTCCTGCATTGTGAGGGGTTGGACTAGATTATCCCCTTTGTCCCATCCAACTCTATGTTTCTATGATTGTATGATTCCATTATTCTAAGACTTAACCAGATAGTGCTCTTCCTTGCCACCTTCTGTCTACTCAGCTATCCCCTCAACAGCTGAGAAAAATAACACAAACATTTCATCTTATTTTGTCAAGTTGGCAACTCTGACCTGCATGGCCAATGTTGTACTAACATTCCTTTTCTTTCTTTTTTAATTCACTGGAAAAATGATAAAAGGTAAAGGTAAAGGTACCCCTGCCCATATGGGCCAGTCGTGTCCGACTCTAGGGTTGCGTGCTCATCTCGCTCTAGAGGCCGTGAGCCGGCGCCGTCCGAAGACACTTCCGGATCACGTGGCCAGTGTGACGAAGCTGCAGCTGGCAAGCCAGCACCAGCGCAGCACAAGGAAACGCCGTTAACCTTCCCGCTATAAAGCGTTCCCTATTTATCTACTTGCACTTAAGAGTGCTTTCGAACTGCTAGGTGGGCAGGAGCTGGGACCGAACGACTGGAGCTCACCCCGCTGCGGGGATTCAAACCGCCGACCATACGATCGGCAAGTCCTAGGCACTGAGGTTTTACCCACAGCGCCACCCGCGTCCATGATATCCATGCCCAATTAACAAATCAGTGGGTGGCAGGGGGCGAGCACAATTGTGATTAGATCCATGCATGCAAAGTTAGCACCTTGTGTTAGGAATTAATCATTCATTCAGCTCATGCATCCAAGTCATGAAATGGGCCACCTATACAATTTTTTAAAAGCTATTCAGAAGTTGAACAAATGGAAGAGGGGAATCAAAAGGCACAACTTGTTGGGAGACATAACTAGGTTTGGAGATAGTTCTGCCCTTACATCAGTATTATTTTGTCTGCTCGTAGGGACAGCACACAATTTGGCTTTCCCAATCTTTCAATATGATGAAACTGGGTCTGAACGAGTGAGGGTTATCTTTATTCATTTTTAGATTATGTGTACCTGTGTCGTAGCAGACACAATTTTAGAAGAAGCATTCCCAAATGAAAGAATGCCTTTTCTGAGATACCTGCAATCTATAAACTTAAGGCCACAAAATACAAATAAGTATTCTTTGTTTAAAAACTTGCTGGCTTATTAAGCAGTGGCAACAAGCTGTGCTATCATAATGATTAAGTAAATGATAATTTTAGGTTATATTTTAGTGGCCAAGTTTTAATTTATATATTTTTTAACTTGCTATATCTGTATTGTCCCTGCTATACCTAATTGCAAATTCAAATTTATCCCTATCGTGTTTTATGACTTCCTTGATACTGTGGGCTGGAACTGGTCTGTGACCGAAATAATAAATTCATTCAGTGGCACCTCTTTCATCAGTCAGTTTTTTAGAAATGCATTACAGTGGTACCTTGGTTTGCGAACTTAATCCATTCCGGAAGTCCGTTCTTAAACCAAAGCATTCTTAAACCAAGGCGTGCTTTCCCATAGCAGCAGGGGACTCAATTTACAAATGGAACACACTCAACAGGAAGCAAAACATGTTCTTATTCCAAGGCAAAGCCCACAAACCAAAACACCCACTTCCGGGTTTGCAGTGTTCTTCACCCAAGTTGTTCATAAACTAAGCTGTTCTTAAACCAAGGTACCACTATAGTTGACTAAACGGTTCCAGTCCTAGTATTTAATGCTTTGCATGAACACATCCTGCCCCTGCTGTATTTCTCTAATTCTCCCATATTCCTTATTACCTTAGATGTTTCTGCTGCAGTCTTCTCTCCTCCTTTGGCCTTTATGAGGTCCGTGTTGCACCTGGAGTCCTTTCGCTTTGGAGGTCTCGGAGGTGCTGATGCACTGCTGGGCAGTAACTTTAGCAAACGATAATAAAAGGCCTCTGTCAACTCTTCCACCGCCGGACTGGAAGTGGGAGGGGTAGCCTTTGCTGGCCCTCCAGTGAAGAAGAGAGACATGTCCAACCACTGTGGAGGAATGTCAAAGGTGAGAGCTGGCTCCTTAGCCAGGCTGATGGTGAGAAATTGCAAGTCGATCCTGGTCTCCAGGGTCAGGACAGAGGAGCAGCCTAGAGGATCAGAGGCACAGTCAGTGCTAAGCACCTTGACCTCACAGGGCAGCTGCAGGTGCTCCACTGCCTCAGAGATGGTATATTTGCGGCTGTCACGGACATCCTCTACAAAGCCAGCTTCCAAGAACAGGGGCACATGGATTTGCTCTCTGTCCTCATCTCCATTGTCCCTGCAGCACACAAGCATGTCCATGGCTGAAGGCTTGTTGGCTCTCGCGACCCACAGCACCTCTAGCCGGTCTCCTACACTGAACAAAGGAAATTCCCCTTCGCTGCTCTCACAGTCCTTGGTGACAACGACCTGCAGTTTCTTGGCGGTGGCTAAACTGAGGGCCAGCTCCGAAGTGCAGCTAAATCTGCGTGGGCATCGGCGAAAGCGGCCTTCGTAGCTGCTGGAGAGGAGGAAGTAGCAGGTCCGGGTCTTGCCTTTGCGAGAAGAGGCTAGGACCCTCCATGCCGAGGACTTGCTGTGGATGTGAATCTGGCAGCCCTTCTGTAGGTGGGAGAACCAGTCGCTCTGGAAGACAGGCAGGCTCTCTGGGGCCTCAAGGATCTCTGCCTCCGCTGGCAGGGCTTCCTCCATTGCCAGAACCTCGCTGAGCATCAGCGGCTTAATAAAGTGGATGTGCCGTGACTCCTTGGTGACGTCGACCACCTCTACATCCAGGGTAGAGTTGATTTGCACAACGTCATTTCGAACTGGAGAAATAAGGACCACATGGTCATTAATTGTCCGGCAAAGATTCCTACAAACAGGAACCTGACCATCAGTTGAGACATCCTGTGGAAGCTGTCTTTGGAAGTTGGGTGGGAGGCTTAAGGGAGAGAGGACTTAACTTTTTATATATATATATAATGGAACTCCTGGGCGTTTCCACCTGTTGCCGTCATTATTGTCTAGACTCCACAGACAGCCAATCTTGATCTCAAAGCATTAATGCAGAGGTAGGAAACCAGTTTCCCTCCTGCAGGACTTCAACTCCCATCAGCTGGAGGGCCACAGTTTCCCCATCAACTGCTTTAATTCTGCCTGGCCTTTGGCTTGGAGTCAATTTGATTCCCTCCCCCTCTTTCTTTTTTCCTTTCTCCTCCTGTGATGAGGCTGCATTTTAATGTTTTAATGTTGTATTTTAATCTTGTTTTTAAGTTGTATTCATTCAACTTGTTTTTATTATTGGTTGTTAGCCACCCTGAGCCCGGCCTTGGCTGGGGAGGGTGGGGTATAAATAATTTATTTTATTTTATTATTATTAATTATTATTATTATTATTATTATTATTATTATTATTATTATATTATGTTTCATGCTGTCTCCCTTTGCCCAGTTTACTGTTTTATTGAGTTCCTTGTTTCGCTGCTTTCTCCCCCTGCTGTTTATTGTCTTACCTGTGCCTCTTGTGTGTTTCGATAGTATATTAATTTTTTTAAAAGCGTGTTACTAATGTAAGGTTGTTTTAGTCAGTTGCGAAGGGCAGAATAAAGGTAAAGGTAAAGGTACCCCTGCCCGTACGGGCCAGTCTTGCCAGACTCTAGGGTTGTGTGCCCATCTCACTCAAGAGGCCGGGGGCCAGCGCTGTCCGGAGACACTTCCGGGTCACGTGGCCAGTGTGACATCGCTGCTCTGGCGAGCCAGAGCTGCACACGGAAACGCCGTTTACCTTCCCGCTTGTAAGCGGTCCCTATTTATCTACTTGCACCCAGGGGTGCTTTCGAACTGCTAGGTTGGCAGGCGCTGGGACTGAACGACGGGAGCGCACCCCGCCGCGGGGATTCGAACCGCCGACCTTTCGATCGGCAAGCCCTAGGCGCTGAGGCTTTTACCCACAGCGCCACCCGCGTCCCTGAAGGGCAGAATAAAACACCTCAAAGAGGTAAGATGTAGGTGAAAGATTGGGGGCAGGGAAGGGGAAAGAGTGACATCAGTTTGATGCCTTTGAGGGGAAAACCAAATCCTTTTGTGGCAAGGGTGGCTTAGCAGTGCCACAAGAAAGAAGCAAATGGCAAGAAATCAGTTCCACAATCTGGCTGCAGTGTTAACTCAGGACTGGAGAACCTGTGCAACTGGTCAGATGTTGCCGGACTACAGCTCCCATCATCTTTGACCCTTGGCTATGCTGGCTGGGGCTGATGGGAGTTGTATTCCAGCAAGATCTGGAGGGCCACAGTTTACTAACCCTGTTTTGATTTCATACTGCAGCAGCTTTCCTCCTGTACCAAATAGCAGTTTCAGGGGCAGGAGGAGCTTTGTATGGGTGAAAGCCCTTCCCTTGCACCACACCGGCTTCTATTTTAAAAGGATGAGGCATGAAAACTGGGCAGTATTCTGCCATGTGCCATCAGCGCAACAATTGCTGCTAGTGTAGTGGGACTTCCCCTCTCTTCTCCCTTTGCCCATTCCAAATATGTTCCAGTGTGTTGGGGAACCCCCAGAACAGATTTAGGTGGTATAGAAGGGGTTTCAGTTGCACAGGCAAATAATCCTTATGCTGCTCAATCATCCCCAACCTTTAAAAAATTAATCATTTCTGCAGCTTGAAGCTACTTCCGGGTAGTTGAAATACTCTATGTATTTAATGTAACAAATAATTTAAAGTATTTTTTGTAGATCTGCAAACATTGGGGTTCTCCAAGCATACTGTTAACACCTCCCTTGTACATGGTTGGGGTTATTTTGGCTGTATAATCAATGACACAGTTTGAATATTGAAAAGAGAAGGAATTATATTGCTAGTGCTTTGCATTTTATTTACTACTGCCATTCAATTCAAAAGCCCAACATAAGGACAATAAATTTAAAACACACAACTGTCAATAAATATAATAAAACAGTACAGTGGTACCTTGGTTCTCAAACCCCTTGGTACTCAACTTAGAACCCAAACACTGCAGACTCGGAAGTAAGTGTTTCGGTTTGCAAACTTTTTTTGGAAGCCAAATGTGCTCCATTTTGAGTGTTATGTTTCCAATTTGAGTGCCACGCTTCCGTTTTGAATGTTGGGCTAAGGTCTGTCTGTTTCTGCTATTTATTTTGCGTTTTTTGTCTCTGCGGCTCTTTTCGTTTTGTTTTTGTGACTGTGTGGAACCCAGTTCAGCTACTGATTGATTGATTGATTGTGTGACTGCTGTACATAATTTATTGCTTTCATTTTATGGATCAATGGTCTCGTTAGATAGTAAAATGTCATGTTAAATTGCAGCTTTAGGGCTTGTTTTTAAAAGTCTGGAACGGATTGATCCGTTTTGCATTACTTTCTATGGGAAAGCGCGCCTTGGTTTTGGAACGCTTTGGTTTTGGAACGGACTTCTGGAACGGATTATGTTTGAGAACCAAGGTACCACTGTACCATGAAATAGTCAGTAGATGCATACTACAATCACAGTGGCAGAAATATATTGGCCATCAAACTCAATTCCCAAAAGCCTCCCAGAAGAGCTGTGCTACAACCAGCTGGTGGAATGTATATGGTGATGGGTCCAGGGTGGTTTCCTTGGGGAGGGCATTCCAAAGCATCAGTGCCATGACTAAGAAGGGGGCCTGCTTTTTGTACCCACCTGCCTCACAGCAGTCAGAAGATCTGACCTTAGATCACCAAAGAGCATCTGCTTTTGCAGAATGTCTCTCGGGTTCAATCTCTGGCATCTCCTGCCTGAAATCCTGGAGAGCTGCTACCAGTCAGTGTAGACAGTACTGAGCTAGATGTCTCAATGCCTGATTCGGGATAAGGAAACTTTCTGTGACATAAGACTCATAGAAGCATAGACTCATAATGAGTACCCACACTCATCAGTGGCATTCCAGAGTCTACAGGGGAATCCCATCACCTGCTGCTATGGCTGTACTCGGATGGATCTGCAAATGCTATAAATATGAAAACCATCTCTGTATCTCTCTGTCTTTGGAGAACTCGCCACGTGCACCAAAATTCTTCAGCATCGGTGGCAAGAATGGCAAATCTGCCTCTTGATTTCTCTCTCTGATTTCAGTAGTGTTAAGGTCAGCTTTCCCTATCACCACATCAACTTTTGATTTCTTTTTAAATTTCATGAAAATTTATCAGCATTGTTGTGCGATTTCCTCCTAATATACACATTTGTATTCACTTTTGCCTAATATACACATTTTTGCTAAACAGTTTCCCCCAAAAGAATGCATTTTGATGTGCTTTTCACTCGTCTACGAATTTTTATGCAGACTCTGCCCTAGTATATAAATTTTTGTATACATTTACTTGGCTGGAGAGCTGCACTGCAAAATTTGGAGACTTGTGAATTTTGAAGGATGGTTGTGTTTCGGTTTGCCTATTTCTTCAGAGAGTGCCAGTTAGATAGGTTTCAGAGTGGAAGTGAATTGAATTTCACACAGCTGGCATTTTTGTAACCCATCGCCTGCTATCAGATTCTTTAAGCAGGGAGATATTGGAGTCTGAACCTGGAACTTCCCATGTGCAAAGCAGGTGCTCTATCAGGAAGGTATGTTCCCCGAGTAGACATTTTGGCAGATGTGTACACATGCACCTCGCCTTGCAAAGGCAAACCAAATCACGCTCTTCCCTCCACCAAGCCTTCCCAGCCTAGAGGAAGCCGCAGCTCAGTCTCTACTTACAATGCATTATCGCTTTCACTTTATACGTTGGGTAGAGCTGGACCTCACTCTTGCCAATTTCCGGGCAGGTTAGTCTCTTCCGCCGCAAGACTGCTGACCGCAGGACCTCTTGGATCGTGTAGCGCTGTGGCTGTTGGCAGTCCAAAAACTTGTCCTTGCGGAAGGGAGAGCCCCGAGAGAAAGATTTCTTCTTTGCTCCACGCGGCAGTTCTGAACTGGGCTGAAAAAGACCTGGGGGGGTATGCAAAATTTGAGTTATTATTTTAAGTAGCTATATCCTGAGAGGGGCCACCTGCAAATTGCCAGGGTGGCGGTGGTGGAGAGGACACCGATTTGCATAGCAACTTCATGTGCTAATTTATATGTGAAGGTGAAGGGACCCCTGACCATTAGGTCCAGTCGTGACCGACTCTGGGGTTGCGGCGCTCATCTTGCTTTACTGGCTAAGGGAGCCGGCGTACAGCTTCCGGGTCATGTGGCCAGCATGACTAAGCTGCTTCTGGCGAACCAGAGCAGCACACGGATATGACATCATGTATGTTAAGTTATATAAGGAGAGACTGGAAGCAGAAGTGGCTCACGAGTCGTGTGTTCCAGCGGAAGTCCACTGTAAAAGTAAACATAAAAAATCCACACACACCCAGTCATGCAGGAAGGTTCACATGCTAGACCCATGATCTGTGAAAATTCCACTGTGGGCACTACTAAAAAGGGCAGAGAACACTTTTTTGTATTGTAAACTGCCTTGAGAGCATGGGAACCTTCAGCTGAAGGACAGAGTACAAATTTAATCAAACAAGCAAACAATGCACATACCTTTAAAATCCAGCGGCAGCTCATATATGTGCCCATTCTCCACATTCTTGCAGGAGATGTTCTGCAGCTGAACATCAATAATTTTCATCAGATCTCCTGTTGATAAGCAGCATTCATTGCCAGAGACTTCATAAACAGATCCTGGAGAAAGTGGAGGTCTTAGTTAGTATACAGGAAGTCAAACTGCTAGCAGGGTGGTTAAAAAGACAATACTGTAAAAACATTAGTCATCATCAAATATGCTTTATTAGGCATAGCAAACCACACATTATCAAACAGACACCGTATACAATTGTGCAAAATACGAGCTCAGCATAACAAGGTTTGTCCCAGTCAGATCTGTAACTCCAGAGGAAATCAATTTGCAGAAATAATACAATACAACACTACCACATCACTGATCAATTAAGAACCACTAAATCTCTTTATAATGGCCTAGTCTTTCTACATGGACAGCACTCAAAAATTCAGCCATTATTAAAGTAATTTATAATAAATAAATAATTATAATAATGTTTTTAAAAATTACTTTAAAAACATTATTAATTAATTAATTAATTAATTAATTAATTATAAAAGACAATATGGTCTAGTGGGTAGAATGTAGGACCAGAGCTGTGGTGCTCCTAGTTCAAATCCAGGGAGGTACTTTGAAGAGCTGCTGTCTCTCAGTTTTAGGAGCCCCCTCTCTTCTCTCTAATGTTGGGAATAGCAGTATTGTCCTACCTTTCAGGAATGCTGTAAAGATTTAAAAAAGTAATGAAAAGCATTCTACAAATGCTAAGTATTATTATTATAAGATCAAATTATTATTATTATTATTAACCTAGATAGAAGTAGGGCACACAGCCACTCTAGGTGGGAGAAGTAATGCAACTTTTCCTTACAGGTTTGGGAGTGGGGGGGGGGAACGAATCTGTTCAAATAGCATTATTTGTTCCTCTTTTTAATGCCCCTTGGAAAAGAGGTAGCCTACATCTGCTTCATCAAGTGCATGCAGAATCCAAATGAGGGAAGGGAAGGCACAGGTGTGTGTCTGACTCAGAGCCAGCCTCAAGATTCAGGACTGGATAGAAGTAAAAAGCCACACAGGTGAGCAATGACTCAGGCCAGTGCTCCCTTGCCCTAACAGACCAGAATCAAGTGACTAAAACCAGCACAACACCTTCCCACTCTTTCTCAGATCTCTTTTCCCCCATTCTTCCTTGCCCTCCCCATCTAACCCCATTTTGCCCAATATCCTTTTTCCCAGCCACCAATCACGGGCCCCATCGCTTTGAAGCAGACTTCCTAGCTTGGTACTATGGAAATGATCCCTGAAAGCATGAGACCATGGGTAGGCAAAGTAAGGCCCGGGGGCCGGATCTGGCCCAATCACCTTCTCAATCCTGCCTGTGGACGGTCTGGGAATCAGCGTGTTTTTATATGAGCAGAATGTGTCCTTTTATTTAAAATGCACCTCTGGGTTCTTTGTGGGGCATAGGAAGTCGTTCATTCCCCCCCCCAATATAGTCCGGCCCCCCACAAGGTCTGAGGGACAGTGGACCAGCCCCCTGCTGAAAAAGTTTGCTGACCCCTGCATAAGACTAAATAAAATCTGAGTCATTTGCAGATGTTAAATCTTAATTCACATCTCTCTCTCTCTCTCTCTCTCTCTCTCTCTCTCTCTCTCTCACACACACACACACACACACACTTATACACTGTTTTTTGTTTAAAGCAACCCTCCAAGTTCTTTATGATGCCGTTAGCCTTTCCAATTTGCATGTTCCTAATTTGTATACACGCCATCCTCAAGTTGGTATTCTCTATTCTGAGCATTCTTCAATCCACACAACTCTATGCCACTTTCTGCTGTCTGTTTAGTAGGGGAAAGAAAGGGGAAGCCCACCGGGCCTGAAATAAACCAGCCCCCTGCCGTCTCCACCCCCATACAAGCTACTCTGAAGGCTTCTGCTTAGCTTTGCCCTTCTTTAACCCAAGGCCCTGCAATCTGTCACAAGAACTTCCTGGTTTCACATACCCAATCTATTTTGTCTTCCCGGTAACATCACCAGTTCCCACTTTTCAACTTCTCTGACGCAATATGTGTAGTTTCGCCCTTCTGCTTTATAGCTTCCCTCAATATCTTCCATGCTCAGGCCAAAGAAATAAAAAAACCCAATGCAATTAGCGATGGGGCTGAAATAATCTGAAATGCATACTACTGTACCAAATTTGCAGTGTCTGAAACAATACACAAACTGAAACAGCCCTTTTTCGAAATTCATACTTCACAGAATATTGCAATGCAGTTCTTCAGCCGTGTAATGTTTGCAAAAATGCATATGGGTTGTTGTTTAGAATCTGTCTCGAAATACAATGGAGTGTTGCCTCCAGGGGCGAAGTCAAATCAGCGGAGAATCGCAGAGCTTGCTGTGGCTGCAGAGGCCAGTCATGTCTGCCTCTCACTTTGTTTTTGTTGCATTAGCAGAACCAAAGTGAACTCTGCAAGGCACACATCTGGGCAGTGTATATGGAGGTCCTGGGCTGCCTCAACGACATGACCCACCCCCTCAGCCTTGCTGATGTGGCACCAACCTGGCTGCAGGAGTTGCTGGAAGGAGGCGGACAGAAGCCATCCAGCCATCTTAGGGACTCCATTTTGGATTTGAGTAGGTTTTACTCCTTAGGCTATTCTTTTCCAGAAGAGGTCCCACAAGGCAGCATATGAGTGAAGTGTGCACACAGTGGTACCTCGCAAGACGAATGCCTCGCAAGACAAAAAACTCGCTAGACGAAAGGGTTTTTTGTTTTTTGAGCTGCTTCGCAAGACAATTTTCCCTATGGGCTTGCTTTGCAGGACGGAAACGTCTTGCAAGTTTGTTTCCTTTTTCTTAACACCGTTAATACAGTTGCGACTTGACTTCGAGGAGCAACTCATAGAATGCGGTGTGGTAGCCTTTTTTGAGGTTTTTAAAGACTGGTGATTTTTGAAGCTTTTCCAAAACTTTCCCGACACCGTGCTTCGCAAGACGAAAAAAATCGCAAGAGGACAAAACTCACGGAACGAATTAATTTCGTCTTGCGAGGCACCACTGTATTAGTGACAATTACACCCAAAATCCATTATATAAGGAGAAATTGCTTTACAAAAATGTGCACAGAGTGGTACCTCAGGTTAAGAACTTAATTCATTCTGGAAGTCCATTCTTAACCTGAAACTGTTCTTAACCTGAAGCACCACTTTAGCTAATGGGGCCTCCCGCTGCCGCTGTGTCGCCGCTGCACAATTTCTGTTCTCATCCTGAAGCAAAGTTCTTAACCTGAGGTATTATTTTTGGGTTAGCGGAGTCTGTAACCTGAAGCGTCTGTAACCCGAGGTACCACTGTATTGGGCAAAGTGACATACTATTGTGTATAATAGGAGAAATTCACACAAAAATGCTGATGAATTCTCATAAGGACTTAAAATAAATAAGTGAAATCTCAAACCAATTTGGATCTTTGAAGGACTGAACTTAAGAATTAGAGAGAGAGAGAGAGAGAGAGAGAGAGAACTGAGGGAAACCAAAATTGACAGATTTACCCACCCATACAGATAAATCAGGATTTAGTACAGGAGACAACACAGAAGCCCTGGCTGGATCAATGTGTGAGAGAATGAAGTGAGAAAGCAAAGCCCTGCTCTCAAAGTCTCTGCACGTTAGTACCACTTTAGACCAGGGATAGTCAATGAAGTGCCCTCCAGAGAGATTGTTGGACTACAGTTCCCATCACCCACAACCAGCATGGCCAGTGGTCTGGGGTGATGGGAGTTGTAGTCCAGCAACATCAGGAAGGCAATCATGGGCAATCTGCTTTAGCCCTATCCACATTCAGCGCAAAGGTCTGGAGGATCAGATAAAGGCTCTGATAAAAAAGCGGGCAAAGTAAACAAGTCAGCAGGAAACAATAAAGCGGAACCCTGACAGCAGTTTCAAATAGCATGCATGCCACAAACGCACACCATTTAAAAATAAAATCAAATCTAAGATACACTTGGAATCCCCACACACTCTAGACTCACACATATATGCTGAAAACAGGTTTCTTTCTTCAAACTTTTATTTTTCTTACTTTCTCCAAAACACTGATGTAATTGCACACGTGATTGTTGTGACACAGACACTTCCATTTTTCAAAACTGTGCCAATTATAAAGGTGTCTTAACAACATTGGTCATAATAGCAAAACTTTTATTCAGTCAAAACAGTCTCTTAACACCATCTTAGCCATCTCTTAATGTTTTATTTCACTTCCCAAATTTACTCCAATAAACCTTTGAGGATAAGATGATTATCATTACATATATCTTTTTAAAAAGTTGCTCATTCTCCTCTTTCCAAATTATGGCATGAGAATGCAATGTTCAGGCAGAAGCTCATTGGATGCTTTTGGTGTCTTAACATCATCTTTCTACCTAGTATACATATATAGCCTGAAATGTGGAGGAGAAAGACTTCGTGCTGGCCATCGGGCAATGGGTGTTTCCACCTGCCTTGCCCCACCAACCAACCCTAGGAGCATTATCTGCAGATGTCTTTTCACAAACTGAACAGAGTGGAAGATTATTAGTCATGGGGGTGGGGAGTGTGGGGGTGTGAATTCAGCAAAACTTAAGCTTATTTTTTAGTTGCTATTTTGTTAATGTTAATATTGTTTTATAGATTATGAATGCTGTAGTGCATTGTGAATGCTGTAATTGTGTTTTTGTTTTGTTTTTTAAGAATAAGAGTTTGGATTTGATATCCCGCCTTTCACTCCCTTTAAGGAGTCTCAAAGCGGCTAACATTCTCCTTTCCCTTCCTCCCCCACAACAAACACTCTGTGAGGTGAGTGGGGCTGAGAGACTTCAGAGAAGTGTGACTAGCCCAAGGTCACCCAGCAGCTGCATGTGGAGGAGAGGGAACGCGAACCCGGTTCACCAGATTACGAGACTACCGCTCTTAACCACTACACCACACTGGCTCTCCTGTAATTGTGTTGTTTAGCTTATTTTTTTTAGTTGTTTTGTTAATAGTGTTTTAGAGACGGTAATGGTTTTACTGATGGTTTGTTAATTATTTTATATGATTTGTGTTGTGTTTGTGATGTTCTATTATGTCATTCATTGTTTGTAAGCCACTTTGCAATTTATGTGAATGAAAAGCGGCATAGAAATAAAATAAAATAAATCAAGTCAAGTCATGCCACTTCAAGATCCAGCTTCTTAACCAGCCTGACTCATTGCTGCCCCAAGGCCACCCTCCTCTCCAGCCTCCACTTCCGCCTCCGATTCTGAACTGCTCTCGGTCACAGATTCTTCCTGTTCACTAAACCCTGTTACCTCTTCAGCTTTCAACACCTCCTCCTCCCAGTCTGCTCCCTCTGGCCACTCATCATCATCCCACCACCAATCCCTGGGCTCTGAGCCTTCTTCCCTTGGGGGTTCCCCACAGCTGCTGCCTCCCACCATCTCCTCTGCATCCAGCCAGCCCATGGCAAGTGGTCCGTGGAAGGAAAAGGCTTGGGGACCACTGTTCTATAGTGCTAGCAATGAAGCTCTATTAATTAACCTTGACCTTCCATCCTCCCAAGTAAATGAGTTGCATAAATGCTGAGGTTTCCATTTCCCATAGTGGGCAAGCAGATACCGTATTTTTCGCTCTATAAGACGCACCAGACCACAAGACGCACCTAGTTTTTGGAGGAGGAAAAAAAGGAAAAAAATATTCTGAATCTCAGAAGCCAGAACAGCAAGAGGGATCGCTGCACAGTGAAAGCAGTGATCCCTTTTGCTGTTCTGGCTTCTGGGATAGCTGTGCAGCCTGCATTCACTCCATAAGATGCACACACATTTTCCCTTACTTTTTAGGAGGGAAAAAGTGAGTCTTATAGAGCAAAAAATACGGTACCTTTGGCAAGTCCAAAAGCAGGGTGGGAGATCAGCGACATCTCCTGTTCCCACTTCCCTACTTAGACATAGTTGTGGAAGGAGTCCTCACGCACAACTCTTTCACAGTGAGCAACACAGTCATTGCTTCCCCAAACACTGAACACCGACCATCTCATCCACAATGGCTATGCAAATCAATCCTGGCACATCGTAACAGCTTTTTGAGCAGGTCTTGGCAGAGGGGAAGCTGCCAGGTACACTTGCACTGGACCTTGGAGGGCTAAGTTGGGAAGGGGGGCACTGGGGGCTTGCTGGCCTTATGCTGTCCTGCCAAGAAGAAGACTCTCATCCCAGGGCAATCTTGGCTTTGGGTTAAGATTGCAGCTGAAGCTTTGTCTTAATTACAACCAGCATGCTCAAAAAGCTCCATTACTTGTCTTCACCTCCCGCCTCCCAACTTTAGGATGAATCTGTTGGCGGCAAAGAGAGAAGCAGTCAGTGATGCTCACCTTGGAAGTAGACTCCAGAGCAGATCTTCACCACTCTAGGCAAGGAGCAAAGATCCAGATCGCAGATGTACTGGTGGAAGGAAACAGAATCCATAACTCCTGTTGCAGGCAGTGCTGCCGAAGTGTGTGGGAGTCTCTGCTGCTCTGCAGGACAGCTGTGCTGCATCTGTGGATGTTCAGCTGTGATTTTCACTTCCTCTTTTAAGGGTTGTCTTAAAGGGGTAGGCTTCCCAAGACTGGGTTTAATGCTTGGCACTTAACAAGAAGTGCAACGCAGACAAGAGGTAGTGGCTTATTGTGGTGACAGTGCACCACATAAATGGGCTGTGTCACCTGAGCTTATCCTAGGTAAAGGGACCCCTGACCGTTAGGTCCAGTCGTGACCGACTGTGGGATTGCAGCGCTCATCTCGCTTTATTGACCGAGGGAGCAGCTTCTGGGTCATGTGACCATCATGATTAAGCCGCTTCTGGTGAACCAGAGCAGCGCACAGAAACATCGTTTACCTTCCCGCTGGAGCGGTACCTATTTATCTACTTGCACTTTGATGTGCTTTTGAACTGCTAGGTTGGCAGGAGCAGGGACCAAGCAACAGGAGCTCATCCCGTTGCGGGGATTCGAACCGCCAACCTTCTGATCGGCAAGTCCTAGGCTCTGTGGTTTAACTCACAGCGCCACCCGCGTCCCCAGTGGCCAAATTGCCATTTAAAGTACTGTAGTTGAGTTTGACAGGAAATCATAATGCAGTCCCTGGGTGACTTGGGACACGTTCACAGCCTACAGTTAAAGCACTCTTATATCATGTTAGCAGTCATGAGGAATCCTGGGAACTGTTTGTTAAGCGTGCTGGAAATGGTAGATCTGTGAGGTTAGCACCTTTTGCAAAGTTCCCAGGATATATATCTATATATCTATATATATATAGATATATTTGGGGGGGGGGAGCCATGATTGTAGAAGTGTGCTTTAAATGTATGACATGGATGTGAGCGGTGTTGCCACAGCGCAACATCGCCCACCAAAACTGCGCCGTTGGAAGTGGCAGAAGAGTGCTTTTGCATCTCCACTTTTTGAAACAGCCTGCAGGAAATGTACAGTTTCGCACAAGGAAGTTCTCAGATTCAGGGAGGGATCATGATGTAGTGGTAGAGCACATGCCTGCTTTGGATGCAGAAAGTTCAACGTTCATTCCCTGGTATCTCCAGTTAAAAGAATCAGGTAGCAGCTGATGGGGAAGACTTTTTCTGCCTGACTTTGGAAAACCACAGAGTAGCGGGGATAGGGGAGAAATTTGATTCAGTTCACTTTTAAAGGCAGGTCTAGGGAACTCATGCCTTACAAAAACAACCAGAGAACTGAAACACAACCAGCCACCTTTCAGAATCCACACCCATCCAAATTTTGCAACGCAGTTCTTCCAACCAACCAATGTTTACAAACTGGCATATTATTAGGGGACAGTATGTATACAAATGAATATACTGTGGTGGAGAGTAACACACAAGAATGCAATCTATCAGGAGGAGAAATTGCTTGCAAAACTGTGTACATTAATCAAAGCAGCATGCAAAAATGTGTTGATCAGGATAAATCTGCACTAACGTGCTGGAGAATTTACATGAAGTTTTTTTTTTAAATTGCTGCAGAAATGTGGAGAACTGAATTTGACATTCATAAAAATGAGAAATTAAGAGAACTGAAATTGACAGATCATTCTACCCCACTAGAGGAGACAGTCTTCATCCGGGTGGCCCAATGCCTTGACCTGATATAAGGCAATTTCCTATGTTCACATTGGCTGCAAACCAACTTTTGCACATCTAGCAAGGGTTTTATGCTGATATACAGCTACTAGGGGCTGCTTCCCCCTCCACATGACCAACCATCTCCCTTTACAGGTCATTCCCCCTCACCCCAAGCCTTCTCGCCCCTCCACAATGCTTCTCCCCCTTACACTGGGGTGGGGGGAGATATGCTTTATATGTATGGTGCATATGCAACCTAAGTCATGTTTAGAAATGCACTCAAGGCACCTTTTCAAACAACAAATACTTCCCTAGACTAGAGGATGAAGTGATATGCAGGTTCAGAACAACAAATACTTAACCTGAAGGAAATATGAATCAGTTGGAATCTTTAACTTTAAAATCAAAACGTATGCACACATATGCAGCAACACTGACACAATATGCAGTCAAGCAAGTAGCATCTCATAGATACACTCCCACTGAAGTTGGATAGAGAAACAATAAACGGAGGTGGTTTTTTAATGGGAAAAAAATGATGAGTTTATTTAAAAAACCCCACTGATGTGCAACTTTCAAAGTTTCAGCTTCAGTTTCTCTTTCAAAGAATAGCCTGGTTGAAAATGAAAGCTAAATTTGATGCAAATGCATAGTTTGTTAGAATTTCTTTATGAACCTCTTAAGAAGTGATGAAGCTTCCGCTTTCATTCTTTTATTCGTTTATTTTTTAAAGAGAACTTTGTGGAAAATGCTATTCCGACAATGCCTTTGTAGCACCCTGCTTGTGGTTAACGCTTAGCTGGAATGAAATATTCAACGCAGCAATAGAGAAATTAAAATAATAATTTATTTGTCAGACAAATAAATGAGAGACACAGTGGTATATGGTTACCAAAGCTCTGCCCACTCCAGCCCTGATGGCCAGTACTTATATTTCCTCAGCCCAGCCCCCTTGCTCCTCCTTTGGCTGCCTCTGTCCAATCAGCCTGGTTGAAATTCCTATTGGCTGCTTGCTAGAACCAATAATAAAAGATACACCCATTTGCTATTACCTTTTATGGGAGACAAAGAGCTATATTTCCTTCTACCTATAAATGGCAAACAAGTAGCCATATATCTTACATTTGCCTCAACAAGGCACCTTAATTACCAGATCACCTTTTCCCCTTCTTGCCCTCCAAAACAGATGGTTAAAACAGATGCTCATTCTGTCTTAAACAGAGATAAGAGATATTGGGTTCACATTCTCACACACCATCAATGAAATAAGAATCTAACATAAGAATCTAGCATTTCTTACTTTCTAAATCCTTTGCATAATTACATTTAAGCCAATATATTTCATACATAACATAGATAGATTTTTAGAAGGAAAGGCCTTTTCAAAGTAAGAAGGAACTTAGTAAAAACTAAGTTCTCTAAGTTCTCTGAAGCTTCAAAGCAGCTTCAGAGAGAAGCCTCTTTCCCTAGCCAGCTGCTGTTTATAAAAGCTCTTTGCCCTTTTAACCTTAGGAAAATGTGGCTCAAGTCTCTAATGGGAGACACATGGTATTATATTTTGTTAAACAATGAATCTTACGATTTACCAACTCTTAATTAGTGCTTTTGCAGCTTGATTGTATTCTGTAGGGTCAGTAACCTAGTAACCTTTGCTCCCAGCCTGTAATTCCCTTTTTACAACTTTGAGAATGTTGGCTCCTGCTATAAATAAATCAGGGGGGCCTTTGTCCAGGAGGATAAACATCTGCCAAAGTCTTTTAGCCAGCTGGTCTTCTGCCTGGCATAAAAACACACAAGCATCTGCAAATATAATTTTTTTAAGCTCATTTTAAAATACAAGTCTTGATCAGATGCCTCACCTTGGCCCCCAACATCAATTATCTGCTGAAAATCCTTCAGGATCCTAGCAACACAACACTTAGGGAACCTACTGAGGAAATGTTTGTTTAAGAAGGCATTCCCTGAAGTGCGGCCTAGTCGTTTATTAATTTATTAATTGTACATCTATAGAAATAGTTTTAGTTTTTAGAGTTTGTATGAATGGTTTCAATTGTTTTTTGGAACTTTTCCAGGGGTATATTATCTCATTTTTATCTTGCAGGACACAGCTTTAATGGCTTCTGGCTGTGAGTCAGTTTCTAAATTTCTAAGTAACTAGATGAATACATTACATACGGGAAGCCTGTTCTTCTCCAGAGAGAAGAATAGTCACTGATGACTATTGACATCTATTTCCTGGAAGTCTCACTTTACACATGTACGGCTTTCAGATCTTCTTTTTGAAACTCTTGTTTCCCCCTCCCCCCAATGCACCTATTTTCATGCATCACAAGGCAGAATCACACACATTCAAGACCAACCTTTGTAAACTCAATAATGGCTTTAAAATAAAAAAAGTGAGTCTGTTTTGGTCACCCTTGTTACAAGACAGAGGTTCAGGGGTATGATCCATGGTACTTGGGGCTATCATTTTGCTGTGGTCTAAACCACAGAGCCTAGGGCTTGCCGATCAGAAGGTTGGCGGTTCCGGTCCCTGCAGAGGGGTGAGCTCCCGTTGCTCGTTCCCTGCTCCTGCCAACCTAGCAGTTCGAAAGCACGTCAAAGTGCAAGTAGATAAATAGGTACCGCTCTGGCGGGAAGGTAAACAGCATTTCTGTGCGCTGCTCTGGTTTGCCAGAAGTGGCTTAGTCATGCTGGCCACATGACCCGGAAGCTGTCTGCAAACAAACACCAGCTCCCTTGGCCAGTAAAGCGAGATGAGCAGCGCAACCCCAGAGTATTCCGCAACTGGACCTAACGGTCAAGGGTCCCTTTACCTAAAGCAGTGATATAGGGTAGGTTGCTGGCGTCCACAGGGTGGGGGCTAGTATTGCCCCCCCCAGTGGACTGGGCAGCCCACATGGAGGGTGAACAGAGCATGTGGCCTAACACATTTATTTGCAACCACCAAAGGGGTTAATTAGGAAGCTTAATGCACTTATTCACAACACCAGCCCAATGTGCTTTATGCAACGGCCAGAGTTCTAAAGACCCCACAAAACTTAGAATACAGTGGTACCTCGGGTTACAGATGCTTCAGGTTACAGACTCCGCTAAGCCAGAAATAGTACCTCGGGTTAAGAACTTTACCTCAGGATGAGAACAGAAATTGTGCGGCCGTGGCGTGGCAGCAGCAGTGGGAGGCCCCATTAGCTAAAGTGGTGCTTCAGGTTAAGAACAGTTTCAGGTTAAGAACGGACCTCCGGAACGAATTAAGTTCTTAACCTGAGGTACCACTGTAATAGAATTGTGGAGCTGGAAGGAACCCCAAAGATAGTCTTAGTTCAATCCCCTGCAATTCAGGGAATTCTTAACATACGGGAGCCTGCTTGGCTTTACAAATGTGCTAGCAGTTTTCTTTCACTATGTATCAAGAGCCAGTGTACTATAGTGGCTAGAGTGTTGGACACCCACCCCCCAACTCGGCTATGAAGCTCACTGGGTGACCTCGCCATCTCTCAGCCTAACCTATTTCACAAGGTTGTTGAGAGGATAAAATGGGGAGAACCATGTTCATCATCTTGAGCTCTTTGGAGAAGATGTGGTAAAAAAAGTAAATATTATTATTATTATTATTATTATTATTATTATTATTATTATTATCTTGGAAGTCCCAATTAATACAGGAGAATACATATACAGTGCAGGATGTAAGATTAAGGTTTCTTTCTGAAATGCTATAGTTTGCATGCATAGTGTGTGTTGGTTTTTTCCTTTAATTTCCTGTAAGATTCTCAATTTACCAATCAGGAGGTAGTACCTTTCAGTTCCTGATAAAAGATCAGGAATCATTTCTTTTGCAGGGGTAGGGGGTAGAAATCTATTAAAAACTTGCACAACAAAATATAGTACAAAAATAAATAGTGCTCAGCCACCCTTTAAATCAGGTTTAGCCACAATCACAACCCCCCTCCCAAAAAACCCCACCCCAATTTGTTTTCAGCATCACCCTGTGCATCAAGTTCAGTGGTGCTTACTCCCAGGTAAACAGGGTAAGATTGCAAGCCCATTTGGCTTTATAATAAAATATGCAACCTGACTATGCACCTTTATTTTCAGACAGGGAAAACTCTACATTTGATTAAGGCTTCTTAGGGGATGCAAGGAGGACCAGGGGCTGGAAAAATTCAAAAGATAGGTGGTTTTCCTAACTTTATCCATAGGGGCTGAAGCTCTGGCTCTCTCCTTCAGCAGGGTGCGATGGAGCCGCAACACCTGAGCCCCACTTCTTTACTTGGGAAACAAAATGTACTAGATTTGCCCCCTGCACCATCAACAGAATTATGACAGGCTGAAATTCTGCAGATGAAGAGTTCCCACCATTGCACCTCCATAGTGGGAAAGGCTGCACACACCTGTTTAATTTCAACCTGCCACCCGGCTTTGAACGCACTAACATCCTGCAGTTTCCTGCACTTTGGTGGTCATAGAGTATAGTCCTCCAAGGCATGTAGAGTGGCCTTGGTGCAACCATGGTGGCCAAAAAACACAGCAAATCAAAAGAGTCAAGTTTCTTTAAGGAATGAGTGGGAATTAAAGCGGCCCGCTTCTAGAAGCCCACTCTCATAAAAGAAAAAACAGGGTTTCCTGGTTCTCCTTTCCACTGAAGCTACACCCCCCAGCAGGAACCTGGGCCGCCTAATACATCAGCCATGCAAGCCCAAAAATATGGCAGTTCACCATGCTATCTGGAATTTGCCAGAATGAACATGCTCTGCTTGTGTGGAAAGAGCTATACAGGTTTTCAGTATGTTTCTGGATGCACTTCAAAGTGCTGGGTTTGATCCACGAAGTGTTTAAACAGCCTGCGTCCACTGTATTCTTATATTGTATTCTATGAACCTGCCTGATGACCTAGATCAGGGGAAGGGAAACTGTTGTCCTCCAGATGTGTCTGGACTCCCAACTCCCATCACCCCTGACCACTGGTTTTGCTGGCTGGACCTGATGGGAGCCCGACATCTGGGTGGCTCCAGGTTGCTTGCTTCCAATTTTGATCCTGGCTGGTGGACCTGAACTGGGTACCCATCTCCTTCCGAGGTCAGATGGATGGCAACATGAGAAAGGACTTCTTCTGCAAGCACGTTTGGAACGTTGCTTTGGGCCAATGCTTCTGTCATTTAGGTGCCATTTTATATTCCTAGGCTTTTAAAAAAATTATTTATCGGACTCTTGCCGATTGCTGTTTTTATTGTTTTATTTTAGCTTGTTCACGGATTGATGTTCTTCCTGATTTTTTAAAAACACGATAAGCTGCTTCAGAAAATATTGTAAGCTGGTTTGGGAAGAGAAATATTTAAAACAAATAGACCAGAAATAGCAAAGGATCATTTCCTGGGCCGACTGCGCTGTTAAGATTTGGGACACACACTGAACACTCAATTTGGCAAAACAGTCATTTAATTTACAGTGTAGTAAAGGTTACAGGTAAAAAGCTCAACAGAGTGTGAAAAGGCCTATTACACAAATGTACAAACTTCTGTACAGAGCCCCACACCTTTCACTCATCCTCCCCCATGCTCAACGTTGGCCAGAACTGGCTTCCAAGAAATTAAAATTTTGAAATTAAAAGTCTGCATCATCCCACGGAGGTGAGGGGCCAAGACCAGCAATCAGTAAAATCCCAAGGGACACATCTTGCAAAACAAGTCACTTAAAAAAAAAATCATTTAAAATCCAGCAAGGGAAACCTTAACTGCTTTAAACTGGTCACATATCCTGAAGAGCTGCCTTCCATACCGGAAGACTGCTTAATAGCCTGGTAAAAGTTAACTAAAAATATCCCAAAGATGAGAGGTTGCAAGTGAAGCTACAGAAGATTTGGAGTATGGAATCCTACAGCTCACGAGCCATTTCATCACAACCTAGATTATGTTGTTATATAACTACACAATATAGACACAACTTCATCTTCACAAAAGGGTCCTATGTACACCGTCAGATGAAACAAAAGCAGACTGTGTAGAAGTGAAGTGACTTCAAGACATTCCATTCAGACTCCCCCCATTGATAGAATACGTTGTCTCATTTTTTAAAGCAGCAGCAGATACCTGAATTATTTGGCCCCAAATCTCTGTCCCGCTCAATACTTTAGGTGGTAAATGGAACCTTGGATAGTTGTAATGTTTCTGCAATAACAGACACAACCTAGCTGTATTACTCACTTTTTAAAATCCCACTTGGTTCATTTGGAGGACTTAAGAATGTGGTTAACTCCCCACCCCCCTGGGGAAAACCAAACCAAACAGGATGTGCCTGACTTTGGCTGAGCTTTGACCACTGTTCTGCCATGTTGTACTACAGGGAACGGTAAACCACTGGAGATACCATCTAAGTACACAGAACCAAGAAGAGACCCATCAAGCAGTGTGATTAAGAGCCTGCCCAGCGCTAAGAGCCTGGATAAGACTCTCAAAGACAATACAACTCTGCTTCCATAGTTACTTTAGTGTGTACAATATACACATCTCAATCAAGTCTTTTGATTCCAAACATCTGGAACTAGAGCCTTAGAGCTACTTTTGGTTCAACGAAAAACTGAAGTCAATAGGTCAAACTGCACAATGGTGGAGCTGAGATCCGGAAACTATTTTAGCTCACGCAATATCCCCATTTGACAGAACTGCAGTCATTATGCACTTAAGAAACTGGCTAACCTTTCATGGGCTTTGGGATTAGTTCGGGGGAGGGGGGGGGGAAAGAACTGTGTGACAAATCCTGCTTGTGTATAGGAAACCAACCCACACGGAGTGTTATGCAAGTACACTGCTTTTTCTCTGGAAGGGCCACTGTTAAAAGTACCTTAAGAGCTCTCATTTGATATTCCTTTCCTTCCTGGTGCATTCAATCTAGAATGCTAAGCAGCAAATAATCTGCTTGATTTTCATTTCTTACCATTTCCCTGTGCTTCCAGCCTTCAAGATGATACTCACTTACAAGGCAAGCACAACGGGCTGTACCTAGACTAAAAGCACTTCATGATCCGCATGTTTAAAAGCAAGCTATGGTTATCTGACTTACATGAGTACTACTTATACCCGAACCAGGTGCTTCTTTAGAGAACTGATCTGGTCCACATACACTTCTGAGGATGAATGTTTACTTGAGACCAGCTGGTTAAGCTTAACTCTGTAAGACAGAGTTGTTAATTTTGACTCTGTGTGACCTGACAGTGCCCCTTAAATTCATGAATAACCTTAGGATAAAAATAACCATGGTGCCCCTTAAATTCATGAATAACCTTAGGATAAAAATAACCAGGGTTGAGTAAAAGAAGAAAAGGCTGTTAGGCAGTGTGGTTCCGCAGATGGGGGGGAGGGTGCCTCTCTTTTCTAGATGCCTGTAGAGTTCTTCCAAAGGCTGGTTTTGTAGGGGAGCTTACCCCTGTAACCTGGCTATGACACAGAGTTAGGACCCTGATTCTGAAAGATGTGGGTGCTGCACTTGGAAGAGTTTTTTGTCCACTCTGGCTGGTTGTGCTCCTGTCTCCCAGGACAGATCAAGCTCTGCTCCTCAGATCAAGAGAGAAGGGGTAGGCTTCTTGCCCGGCCAAGCTTCTTTTGCATACTTCTTCTTCTTGGGCTCATTCACAACTTCGGGATTAAAGACAGCAGGGTTTGGAGCTGGGTTCATGGTGACCGTTGAGGGTGCAACCGGAGTCAAGTCCACATCCGGGGCAAGATTAGGATAGGGCATTGGCAGGCCTCCAATGAGCGCAGTGCCGTGAATGCTATGGGCCTGGGCGCCTGTCTCGTTGTGAGTGGGAGGCAAGCCGCCATACAATCCTCCGCTATAGGGAAAGTTCTGCATGCGCCGCGTGGCAGACTCATCCGCGCTCAGGGAACCGGAGTTGTCCATCCGCTTTTTCTGCAGTAGAAAGGACAACTATTTAATTTTTGAAACAACCTCTCAATACAAACCACTGCAGAGGAATCCGTGCTTCCCTCTTTCCAAATATTCATTGGTATATATTAAATCTTCATAATTTATATGGTGTATGAAGAATTAGTGTTTGAATCGGCTTGGTTTTCATGTTCGATGTGGCCCTCGGGTGGATGCAATGAGTTGCTTAATGCAACTACTTTGTAGCATCAAGCCCTTTCCTGTCAGTTCCATCATCACATTCATTAAGTACTTGCTGGAATGAACCTGGAAAGGAGTAATACCCTCAGGGAATTAGTTGCTTAGTCACAACACAGTAAGAGGTTCCAAGGATGTTATCTGTTTTATCTGGTTTAACCTAACAACTCTCCTTCCTAACAGAACATGATGTCACTTGGCACGGACAAAAAGCAGAGAACAGTGGGAAACATATTATAGCCACCTAGGAAGCTGCACAGAATACAACTGCATTATAGAGCAGCAGGAAGTGGTATTAACAACATATTATTTTTTTGACAATCCAAATCCTTCCTGAGTTCATGAATTCCAAGGCACAGGCCTAAGTAAGGCTGTCACTTGCAACTGTGACTGCCTTGAGGTGGCTGCCTTTGGTGTTTTCTTTCTAAGTACAGTGGTACCTCGGGTTACATACAGGTCAGGTTACAGACTCTGCTAACCCAGAAATAGTACCTCGGGTTAAGAACTTTGCTTCAGGATGAGAACAGAAATTGCGCAGCAGCAGCGGCGCAGCAGCAGCAGGAGGCCCCATTAGCTAAAGTGGTGCTTCAGGTTAAGAACAGTTTCAGGTTAAGAACGGACCTCCGGAACGAATTAAGTACTTAACCCGAGGTACCACTGTAATGGAAACAACTCATTGATCGAGGAAGGAGCACAGCACGAGCTTGCCAGAAGCCTTTTTGTTGCATTAAAAAAATTGACTACTTATAACTTAACCATGTCTTTCTAAATAAAAAATAAATTAAAAAGGTTAAACTGCAATCCACAGTACAAAGCAAAGGTAAAATGTAAAATGTCATTAGGACGCAGCTGCACATCTTATTTACACGTCTTACCTATAAACATATTTCTATTGGTCTAGCAATAAAAAGAACCAAACATCTAGATCTAATACTATCCTGGCTACAACTATCCCTATCTAAGACAGCAGTTTTCACAGGCTATGTTAACAGGCTGTTTTCTGATTTAGAAGCATACCTTCACTGGGACAACTGCAGTCTGTACCATGTTTCTGAAGCGTCCAACAGAAGGGTCCACATCCTCTGTATGGGTAAATCAGATTAAAATGCCGTGGTTAGTTTTAAAATGGATTTTGAAGAGTGTATTCAGCACCAAAGGGGGTTTAATGCTAGCTTTCTCAAAGTGAAAGGTTATTACCAGCAAAACCTCTATACAATAATGCTCAGACAGCAATATGCAGTGAGGCCTACATAGAACACATCCACAGTGCTCACCTGGATTGATGATTTCGTCATCATCACTGAATGTTACTCTGGAATTCTTTCGTTTTCTTTTTGGTCTCTGGATATCCAAATTTCCTTCTTCTATAGTTAACGTGGAGATCCTCTTATTATGGGCTGTGTTGAATTCTGTCAGGTTCTAAAAAACCAATGAAGAATAAAGATTAAACTCCCCATCTCCTGCCCCCATGAGCATTTAGGACTGCACAGGCTTCAAGGTGCCCACAATATTATAGGAGCAAGCCAACAGCAAGTCATAAAGAAGGCTGATCGCCGAAGAATTGATGCTTTTGAATTGTGGTGCTGGAGGAGACTCTTGAGAGTCCCATGGACTGCAAGAAGATTAAACGCATCCATTCTTAAGGAAATCAGCCCTGAGTGCTCACTGGAAGGACAGATCGTGAAGCTGAGGCTCCAGTACTTTGGCCACCTTATGAGAAGAGAAGACTCCCTAGAGAAGACACTGATGCTGGGAAAGATGGAGGGCACAAGGAGAAGGGGGCGACAGAGGACGAGATGGTTGGATAGTGTTTTCGAGGTTTCCAGCATGAGTTTGACCAAACTGCGGGAAGTAGTGGAGGACAGAGGTGCCTGGCATGCTCTGGTCCATGGGGTCACGAAGAGTCGGACACGACTAAACAACAACAAACAGCAAGTCAGCTGGTAGCCTGCCTGAACAGTCACCTGTTTTAGCCAGGGGAGAATGGGAATTTGGTCTAGTGGTCTGAAATAGCACAAGACTCACGGTTGTGGGTTGGAGCCCCACTTTGTGCAAAATGTCCCTGCCTTGCAAGGGGTTGGACTAGATGACATTCACAGACCCTCCAACTCTACAATAAGGTTTGGCCATACTTGCCAGACCATGGGGGCCTGCAAAAGTAGGTATGTCGCACACAAGCACAGCCTAACATTTGCAAGGTCAGAAGACTTTTGTTCTAGTGCTGTTGCTTATGCCATGCTTCCAGCCAAGGAACCCCGTGCTCCCTCCACAAGGGAAAATGGGTGTCATGCTGTGGGTGAACTCACATCTAATTCTGTCTCCTCTTCTGGAAGTCCAAGCAAGCCCTTGAGCTCGTCGTCCTCACTGGTCATCTTCTCGTCTCCTTTTACTGCAGAGGGCAACGTCTGAGGTTTTTCCCTCAGAGTATAGGCCCTTGTGGAGGCACCAAAGGAAACTGTAGAGTCAATGGGAATCTGCTGTGGTTTATGAGGCTCCAAACGAATATGACCCAAAAACGTGCCATGTGCTGGGAATATTGGAATAAAAAAAGAAGAAACTGTCCATTAGCTGTCAGTTTATTCAAAGCTAGATGTGGGGCCCCACTGAAAGTATATGAAATTATTTCACTGTGTTCTTCCAGGAAAATCTGAATTAGTTGATTAAATGAAACATTTGCAACCCAATTCTCCAAGGCTTTTGGAACAGCTTCCAAGAGACAAGCAGCCAGTGTTCTGCAATTTTGCTTGCTATGGCAAACGATCCATTGGCCTCTGGTATGAGTCAGAAGGAACTTGGGTGGTTAGAGTAATTCTTCAGCTTGAAGAGGTTAGTTTTGTTTGTTTGTTTGTTTTCATACATTTCTGTTCTACCTTTCTTCTGTTACAGAACTCAATGTGGTGTATTGGCTTTGCGTTTCCCCCCTTACAATCAAGAGGTATATACATATGAAATAAAGTACATAGGTGTTCCCTGGTGGTCACCCATCCAGACACTGATCAGACTAAATCTGCTTAGTTCAGTAAAGTGGCAGGCTCATGTGCCTTCAGACCACAGCTGAGCTATGCTTCCAGGAAGAGCTGCAGTTCTAGGGCTGGCTGTGTTGGCACATGTCGTGGCAGGCAGCAGCACCTTCCTGCCTGCCCAGTGCTCTCCAAATTCGGAGTTAGGGAAGGGGCTGGAGATTGTTCCTGAAGTTGTTCTTGGTTTCCACAACTATGGGGTTGGCCCATAGTCCAAACTTAAGAGCTGGGGGGGAGGGGAAGTGAATGTCCTTGACAAACATGTAATCTCGTAATTGGGGGAGGATTCCGGCACCCTCAAATTTTGGCTTTGGGACGAAGGCCAGCCAAAATCTGTGAACCCTTAGAACAGCAATGAACACAAGTCAATAAAATACAATACAAATTGACAGTGGCGACAAAAGACCACGGCGTCCCTTTCTGAGTGTGAGCTGAGTGCAGCAACTTATCTGAAAAAGCCACAAGAACAGATCAGAGATGAAGCTCACTAGGGTGGCCATTGTAAAGCCTTGGAGCAATTGCAGTGAAGGGCCTGTAATAATAGTAATAATAATATAGCTATGGGGAAGAAAGATGACTTGAGAATGTTGCTCAGAGAAGTACTGTTTCAAGAGCACCTTTTCCAATTTCCACCACCCACTGCCATGGGAGTCTTAAAGCTATAATGGAAACCACCAGGGCATCCTTTTTGGAAATGACACCATCAGGGTTTGATGGTGCACCAGGTGCATTTTGCACCTAAAGGTACTCCATTTGCGAGCACCTCTGATGGTGTTTCCTGCTTGGCAGGGGGTTGGACTCAATGGCCCTTGTGGTCTATTCCAATTCTATGATTCAAAAAGCCCAGGTGCCATTTTTTGCACCTGGCTGACACTCAAGGATTACTGAAATGTAAGTGCTTTGAAGCCTCGAAGTATATATTAAGGATAGACAATATGTTAAGGAGTTTAACAATAAAGAGTAGAGTGTTTTGAAAACTGAAGTATGGTACCAATATTTTTATTGTAAACACCAAATTAAACATTTATTAACAATTTCTGCTAAAAATGTGATATTAACAATGTGTCACTTATGTGAATTGCGTATTAGTTCATGCTTTTCAAAATAATAAATAAATAAATAAAATGTGTTGCCACCCCCCCCCCCGCAGTGGGGACTAGGAATTCTGTTTTGGTGCCTACAACCATTTGGCTCCTAGCTTTTCTATCCCAGCTTCTAACACTGGCCACCATGGTTCCTATAATGAAGCCTTTTTCTACTTCAGCTAAATGTAAGGATAAACAAATCCCAGATCCCTTGAAAATTCACCCCAAGCATTCCTTCTGTGCCACCCACCCCTGTATATTACCTGGTTAATTATCAATCAACTTACTGCTGTTGAGGTCTATAAGAAAAACCCTCTTCAGATGTTTGTGGTAGACTAAGGCAGCATGGACCCGAGAGCATGACTGGTGATCAATGGTGAAGTCGCACAGGTCAGGGTTTCTCCCAAAGAGATAGTATTTCTTTTCATCAATGATCAGTTTCTATGATAAGACATCAGACAGACAGCAACATAAGGTCACTAGAAGAAGACATTTCCATCATGACTGCTGCTGCTGCTACAGAAGACTATGAGCTATCAGCAACAGAGGGAAGGGCTTATCCATTTTTTATCAGTGCTGCTAGACCAGGCATCCCCAAACTCGGCCCTCCAGCTGTTTTGGGACTACAATTCCCATCATCCCTGACCACTGGTCCTGTTAGCTAGGGATGATAGGAGTTGTAGTCCCAAAACAGCTGGAGAGCCGAGTTTGGGGGTGCCTGTGCTAGACCGTTCACACGGTAGCCAGGGGAGTGGCCATATTCAGTTACAAATCAAAAATTATGTTCCATGCAGGAATTATGTTTCTGATTCAATGCTATTTGTAAAGATACAAACAGCTTTTACAAGTTCAGCTTCACTGCTGTTGAAGCCACAAGATGGGTAAAAACTCATTTGTGCCTCTGAGTTATAACCCAGTGTGATTCTCCACACACTGAGCTTGATTACTTCATGACTTGTTTTGATGTTGCACTTTTTAGACCTAGCCGATCACTAGTTATACCTCTGAACTCGAAACGAGAACAAAGGTAAAGATGGCTTGGTTAGTATCAAGTGCTTAAGAAACCTGTGTGAATTGAACAACATGTGTACGTTGCAACTGACAATTTACAGTGTGCTGCTTTCAGCTTTGTGGGGCTCGAAAGGTATTCCATCCTAGGGGATGCTTACAGCTCAAACAGACAGGTGCTTAGTTTGGAGGTAAATATCTCATGTTACTAAGCAGAGATATGGGCAATTCTTGTGTCAACACAGTCCATTCCTTCCTTGGCATGCTACAATAGAACTTGGACCTAGGAGCCCTTCAGCACATCACTTCGTCATACTTGTCTGTAAAATGGAAATATCTGGGATTCAGTTACTGTGAAAACTAACACAAACCCCTCAGAACAGCAAAAAATAGGTTTGCCCTTCTAGTTCTGAACTGTCACCTGTTAAAAGGTGATGCCAGAAGGAAGCACTGGGTACCAACACCTGCTTCTAAGGTACTTTGGGATACTTGGATGCATAGTGGGTATTCAAGCAAAATGGGAAGCAACTCGGGGAGCCTGCTGAAAGTGCTCATCAGACATTGCAGGAGAAAAAGGGGAAAGGATGCAGGAGATTTTATTGCTGTGCTTGATGCTTGTGATTGTTTCTATAGCTACCCAGTACTAGAAGTGTATTCCTAGTCCAGGATAATTTGTTCTGCATCTATTTTCATACCTCAATAAGTTTGTCTCCTTTGACTACATCCAGGTGCAACCCAGGTGGAGGCTTTCCTGCCCTAGGAAACAAAAACAGAAATATGTTTTGTTTTGGAATAAAGTCACATTTAGAACCCCTACAGTTACCCATTGATCTGAAGTCGCCATAAAAACAAAACCCAACTCTCATACTTTTTTTTCCTTAAGCAATATGTTAACCATAAATGCTGCAACACATTGAAATTAGATAGATGGAAAACCTGGACTTTAACACAGGAAATTGGTGCAAAAAGTATGAGCTTAAGTGAAATTAATAGTCAGGCACCTTTAGGTCACTGCCATGTACATGGGTCTTCAGACAATGTATAGTATGGCACTACCATAAGACGAGATGCTGGTCACTAGCTTACATGGCTCTAAAGTGGAATAGATTGGGCCAGGCCTACTCATGACTATTGGCAACAATAGTGACCAGAATCTGCATTAAGAGAAGAGCCATAGCTCAGTAGCAGAGCACATGCATTGCATGCAAAAGGGCCCAGGTTCAATTCCCAGAATCTCTAGGTAGGGCTGGAAAAACTCCTGTCTGAAAGCATGGAGAGCTACTGCCGGTGAAAGTAAACCAGGGATGGGGAACCAGTGACCGCTAGGCATTGTTGAAGCTAAATTCTCATAATTCTGGATCACTGGCCATGGCAGGTGGGGCTGATGGGTATCCATCCATATCTGGTGGTTCTCTATCCCTGAGGTGGGTGGAGCACTGGTCTCAGTGTAAGGCAGCTTGCTTTGATATTGCATACTAGCTGGCCTTTTGCCTGATCCAGTCGGGCTTTGCGCATACCTTCAGTGGAGTAAGACCTACTGGCACGCCCCTTTTGATAAGAACTCTACAGTAATGGATATCTCATTTAAGCAATTTAGTATGGAGGAAAACAAAAACTCTGTTTGCAAACACTTAAGGTTTTCTGTGTTATTCAGAAGTCACTATACCTCATTTAGAGGGGCTTGTTTGTAATAGTGGCTAAGAGAGTGAGCTACAAATTGTGAGTTCCCCATTCAAATCTGCTACGAAGTCACTAGGTGTTTCCGCCTCAGTGTCTCACACCATCTACAACATGGAGCTTGTTTGTAATAGTGCAGGCATAGGCAAACTCAGCCCTCCAGATGTTTTGAGACTACAATTCCCATCATCCCTGACCACTGGTCCTGTTAGCTAGGGTTGATGGGAGATGTAGTTCCAAAACATCTGGAGGGTTGAGTTTGCCTATGCCTGTAATAGTGGCTAAGAGAGTGAGCTACAAATTGGGAGTTCCCCATTCAAATCTGCTACGAAGTTGCTAGGTGTCTCACACCATCTATAACATGGGGATAATAATATTCACTTTACAACAGAAGTGAGGAATTGGGTTTGGCCAGTGGGCCGAATTCTTATTTCTTCCAAACCTTGCCAGCAAACTTTGGCAGGTGGGCGCAGCTGCTCACCTGCCAAAGTTCAAAGGAGCTCACTTTGACCATCTTTACAGTGGAGCCCCTTTGAAGTCCATTTGTGGGCATCATATGAATTCAAATGGCACCTGCACTTGGACAAAGTGGGGCTCACGGATCAAGGAGCTCCATTTGCAAAGCAACAACTGGGAGCTCACATCAAGTTCTCAACTGTTTGTTTGTAGCCACATCTTTACCTGTCTCACACTTGACATCACACACATTGACAGGTGTGGGGCTGGTGGATGTAGTTTGGGGGAAACGGCTTTGTTAGGCCTAATTAGTTCCATGAGCTGGAGGTTCCTTGCCCCTTGCTTTATAGGGTATTTGTAAGGATAACAAGATAATGTATATGAAGTGTTTTGAACACTCAAAAGCGATACAAGGTCTTATTAATTTAATTTTTTTCAGAGTTCATTACTTAGGTTTTCTCCATTAGAAAGATGAAGCTCACTCAGTGCATGTCACAATGTCTTAGGAACACCAGGGGTTGTCTTATACTGAGTCAAACTATTGGTCCATTTAGCTCAGTATTGTTAACACTGGCTGGCAGAGGTTCTCCATCTTCAGGCAGGGGGTTCTCCCAGTGTATTTGGAGATGCCAGGGATTGCACCTGGGACATTCTGCATGCAAAGCATTTCTTGCCCAATCTGTGCCAAATATGTACTAGAACTCACTGCTAAATAGTTAATTGCTGGAGAACAATACCCAGGGGCATTGTTCCTCTGTGTGGCAGATAGAAGCAACCATATGAACTTACCTGAGCCCCAAGGTTAGCATCAGAGGCCTTCCTGTCATTAGTTAAAATTCAGATTGGTGGGTAGAGAAAGGTCCTTCTTGGTGGTGGTGACATGACTGTGCAGCTCTCTTCCTAGGGAAATCCTACAAGCCCACTCCCTTCCCATTTTTAGACGGCCTTTTAGAATTTGTTTTTATTGTCAGGCTTTTTAGGACTGGTTGGTTTTTTGTTGATTAGATTTTTATACTGCTGTTTTTGCTGTGTGAAACTGTAATTTTTATTTATTTATATTTCCTGCTTTGGAAAAATAGTTTTTAAAGACCGAAGAAAAAGCATCTAACAACAAGGGTGGGAAAATATTACAATATCCTTCCACAGAAAAAGATAAATTGGAACTTGATTATATGAAAAATATGTCATCTATCTTCCACTCACTATAATTCTTCCTTCTGTCATTAAAAAAAGAGTGACACAGTGGATAGCTCCAGCTATAATTAGCACAGAAGGTAAAACTTTGCTAAGTCACAACCCAGAGAGCTCTTCTGATGATTTAGCAGCCCCGTCATCATAAAGGAAGATGTGTTCATTAGACTCTCAAAGGATATTAATTATATAATTCATTGTTTAACCAAAAACTGAAACATTACATCTGTACCAAAAGATAAACCTTTGTGGGCAGTTACCAAAATCCTTTCACTGTGAACATATATGACATACTTCCAGTCCTGTCATCAAAACCTGTCCTTCCAAGACCAGTTTTGGCAAAGTAGGTTGCAGACCACATTACACTACACCTTCTGCTTTGGAGGAAGGAAGAAACTTAATCTCTAAGTCACTTGTATGTATGTATGTATGTATTAGGATGAAAAGGGCATATTCTATAACTCAAATGCATTCCAATGTGTTATACTACAAAAACTCATCTTTTCCTTTCAGTCCTTCAGCATAATTTCAGACAGCTGGGGCAAGCACTATGACCAGAGTGACCACTGCTTTTTGTCATAAAATTTCTTACTCAAAAACAAATTCCCAGAAAACACAGGTGCAGTTACCTACGTAACTCCTAGAATTGGCATAGAAGAAGAAAATTGTTTCTGTATGAAGAAGAAACTGCAGGACACACACGCTTAGTAGGCTCAACACCCACTGAAGCAGAATACCGAACAAGCAAAATGAACGATCCATTTCCAGCAGGGAGTAATCCCCCAAAGACACATTTTCTTTTGCTTCTCCAACCCACAATACTAACACTTTAAAAAAAAGTTTCCTGAATTTTAGACATACTTGCATGACCCAGTTCTCAAATAAAACAAATAATTTTCCTAGACACCTAGGTGCAATTAGCATGTGAAACACCTCAACAAAGACAGAATTCACAGTGCTGGGCAGTACCTGACAGCGAAAAACACACATAGGCAATACTGAGAATATATCCCTTAGATGCAGGTCACTGCATCTTTCAACACAACTCCAGAGAGCCCCAGGTTTCATGTTTTGCTTAATCGCCCCAGCCATAAACATGACCTGCTACTCAGACCTTAACAAACCGTCATTCCTCTTTGCAATAAGGTTGTCTCTCCTCCAAAGCATCGCAGCTACGGGATCAAAATGTGCCTCTGCGCAGGGGCACCCAGCCACAAATGCTTAAGGTGCAGATCAAACATGACTAGAAGCACTCACTCCCATATTTCCGAGTTTAGCAGTACTGAATGAAATTGTTTTACTAGACAGGCACGCTCGGTGATAAAACGGGTCGTTTCCCCCCTTGCCTTCCAAGGCGCAGAAATACCCTCCCTTCACTAAGAGACAGGCACTCTGCTCATGTTCAGAGACGCCCTTTAACTCCACACAGCAGTGTAAGAAATACGTTCTCTGTCCATGCTCAGAAGCACCCTCTGTGGGTTTTTAAAAATTGATTTTTTAAATATATTATATATATATATAGGTGCATAACATTCCAGGGCGCGTAGCACTTTCCCGGTCCTTCCCCCGCTTGCAGGGGCTGCTGCACCCAGGCCCACTCCCCGCTTCATGATGCCGCTCCCGTCTCCCCGGGGGAAATATAGGCCCTTCTGCACGGCGGGACCCTTTCCCGCTCTCCAGCGCCACAGGCCCCCGCCCTCACCAGGTCGGGCAGTCAAAAAGTGGGAGGATCCCGCCACCGCCACTGCCGCCGCCGCCGCCACCACCGGCAGAGTTCGCGTTCGCCGCCATCTTGTGACTGCCCCATTCAGCTGGGCGCGGGGCACGCCGGGAAGCTGGAAGACCCGGCGGGCGGGAGGCGATCCCGGGATGCACCGCGGCGAGGCTTGTGTGTGGAGGAGGGAGCTGCGCGGGTCCTGTCTGGTCTGGTGTAGAGAAGCTCGAGCGCGGCGTTGCGTAGCGACGTCAAGGCGACGGTACGAAAAGCGCGGGAACCTGGCGGTGCGCTTAGGCTTAAGCTCCGATGTCTGTCAGTCGCGTGGGATGCCGCGGCGGCAGCGGCCATGTTGACGGCAGAAGTCCAAACGGCTGGGCTTCCTCTCATTTCCCCACTCGGCCCGCTCCTTAACTGCAATCTGCAGGCTTCACTCTCATTTTCCTCCCCTTCACTTATTTTTGATGTGTAATTCATTTCTTACTGTATTACAAATGGTATAAGCACTTTACACATAAAACACTGGCATCTCCTAAGCAAGATTTTGATAAAACTATTAGCTCTAATCCATTGGTTCCCAATTGCTGATGACCCTGTGCATATTATCCACTTTCACTTTTCTTTTTTCTTAAAAAAAACCCTCACAGAATGGGGCATACACTATATTTATCAGGAACAGCATTTCAGAAGTTCCTGTCACTTGTTTTAAAAAACTAATTTATTATGATGCAAACTTCCAGACACAAATTCATGTCAGAAGCATTAACTATAAAATTTATTACATTATATTATGCGCTTCCTCCCAAAGGAGTTAAGTATAGCAAAAACTAGCAGCATAATAAATTATCAGAATGTCAAAGACTTTACCCAAAGACAGTTGTTTTCTCCAGGCATTGAAAGTGATTTGATCCTTGCATTTAGGTCTGAGCTGAAGAAAATACACAATGTCAAAACACTTTTAAAAAATGTTTATTGACAGTTAAATGGATGGAATGATGGAGCAATAGTGCAAAGAAAGATGTGCAACTGAGGGCATCAATCTTCTCCAGCGCCAACTTTCACAGTTTAGTAATTTCAATAAGTAAAATGTGAAAAAGAATAAATAGTGAGTGTGTCAGTAAAAAGATTTACAATTCTACCCAAGAAATTGCTACAAGTCTATAAACAAGTCAACTTTTCAGCCTTTTTTTTACATCAGTTATCCTGCAGGAGTGGAATAGACCTAAGAGCTCTACCCAGCAATTCAGAGCAGAGAAAAGGTCTAGGTCAGATCTCTCAGCCAAAGGAGATAAGTAACGCTCCTAGCCTGCAAAGGTGAAAATCTTCTCTTGCAAAGACAGATTTGCCATAGTTGCTCACAAAATGTATTACTATTTTTCTATGCCACCTCCATTTTTTATCCATTACAGGCTCTGTGCTGTATTTTTTACGTGCTGCAAATGTGTAATATATGGGCTTAGAGGTACAAGTTGGGAAGACAAGAGTAAAGCAGCCCACCATCAAATACAGCTTCATTAGGCAACAATACATTTGGACACACTGCTAAATGATTCACTGTCACCACAAAAATTAATCAAGGAGAAAACCTGTTACTGAATACTAGGTACAAATACCTCTAGCTCAGAAAAGTAATCACGGAGTACATTCTCGGTTCCAAATGCAAGTGACCAAAACATTTTTCATGGTATACCATTAAAAAAGATGGGAGATGTTTAAAGTTCTCTTGAGAAGTTTAAAACAAAGGCTACTGTGTAGCCTGGACTTTTAATCACAAGACTACCATGCTGCAATGAAGAGCAACTTCTGGAAGTTTCATAAGTGGTATACAAGGCAGCAGAGGAACTGAAAAAGAGTTGCAGCTCACCACACACTCTTAAAGCAAATCTCTGGATCACAGCAACAAATTCATTGGAGAGTTGCTTAGTTAGTGAGATTCTGGCGTTCTCAGAAGTTATTCCTATGCAAGTCGCTTATAAAAGCAGTATGTATTTTTAAAAAGTTAAATTTGTAGTGTATGTTGTCAATTAACAGGTTACCGATCACACTCTCCAACACTTTATATTCAGGACAGCAATAGTATAGTAAACAAAAAAAACCCCACAAGTTTGATTACATAAAATAATTTTACATTAACTGATAAATACTGTCTTCATGGTTCACTAAATCCAATAACTAGTTATCTTCATGTTAGTTTCTATATATTATAATTACTAGAGGAAAACCAGTTTGTGTTTCATCTCCTCTCAATCAATTCATTCCACAGGGTTTGTCTACTTGTTTTCCCTTTGGGGAGGAAAACAACAACTCTGCAATTCATTCAGTTCCACGTAAGGGCTTCATTTTGATGCCTGCCAAATAATGAGTCCCAGGATTAGAACAGCCACAGACAGACCAAGAATCAGGATACAGATCTTCTTACGAGATTTCTTCTGTTAAAAGAAAACAAATAGGGAAAAATCCATTTACACCGGGAAGATGGTAAGAAAACAACATTCAGCTCATTAATATTTGTACAATAGAAAGGTGGGATGTGTTTGGACGCAATAATTAACCAAAGAGGAATAAGATATCAACAAGAAGAGGGCAACAACAGAAATAGTCAAAAGAGTGCTTAAACAATCAAGGCTGAATATTTAACATGTATTTAAAAGGAAGCAATAGAAGGTACAAATTTATTGCCAGTGTTGTTGACTGAGAGAAGCAACCAGGTAGATTTGTGCACAAAGCTTTCCCCCTTCTCCTTTTCATTAAGGCTCCATACTGCATTGAAAGCTCCTTTGTAATTCCCCAGTTTAAAAAACACCAGCGGGTTTCAGCATATGATAAATAAAATGCTGCTGTTCAGAAAAACGATGAAAATGCCTGTTCATGCATGAGTTTTCCATGAGTTTGAATTTCAAGGTGATACTAGGAATTGAAAAAGAGAAGTATGTAGATACCATTTTCCTTTTGTTTTAGAAGAACCATGGGTGGTATCCAATATTAAAGCCATCTCACTGAAATTAACGGGCAAGACTAACTTAGATCCATTAATTTCAAAGGGTCTCCTCTGAACAGAACTTAGCTGGAATCCGATCCGTCAGTTTCAAGAGGCTTTGCTTTCTCTTTTCTGAAGAAACATAGCAAGACTGATTCCGCTCCCACTTCCCTTCCTTTTAAAGTGGTTGTGCAGACATTGTTACCTGATAATAAGCAGCTCTTTGTAACTGGTCATTGGCACTTTCCACGTGGACTTCTGCATTTTCTACATTTGCTTCTATACTATCTATAGGGAAGAAGAGCGCACACAGATGTACAATTCTCTTACAACAGCCTGTATATATAACAACAACAACAGCCTGTATACCAGTGATTGGGAATCTCGTTCTGTCGAGGGCTCCATTCCTGCAGGAGTAACCTATGGAGTGGTGGTGGGTGGGGCCAGAGCGAAACTCTGAATTTTATGAAATACAATTAACTAACTAACTAACTTGGATGGGGTCACTTGCTTCTCTTCCCATACCCTTCCTGCTTGCCTGGTGGGCTGGCAGGGCAGGGAATGGTCACCTTTGCCAGAGGTCTGAGGCAATGCTGGCAGAGAGCTCCTCACCCGACCCTTCCATTTGCTCCATCTGTTTTCATTTTTTTTGCACCATTTTGAACTTCCCCGCCTTTCTATTCTCCCTCTACCCACATGAAATAAGACCAAGGAACACAGCTTTCCCACCCCTTAACATTGCTATAATTAGGGTTTCCATACGTCCAGAATTTCCCGGACATACCGCAGTCAGAAGGAGTGTCCAGGTGGAAATTTGGGAAATTTTGGGAAAATACGGATGTATGGCAACCCCAACAACTTTTGTGTCCAGGTTTTCACTTTTTGAAATAAAGCCTGTTTAGTCAGTATATAAAATCACAGGTGCTGTGAGCCCTGATATACTGTGTCTCATAAACCACTGACAAACTACTACCAGCTCATTTTCAAAAGGTATAGCGTGAACAAGTACTTTAGGCCCCACCTTCTGAAGTGGTAAAAAATGCCTCTATTTTGCCCAATTAAAAAAAAAAAGTTTAAAATGAGAATGCTCCTGTGCAAGTATCTAATGTGTCCACACATTTTCTTACACTTGCAGCATTATCAAATCAACTCAAAAGAAGCCAAATCAGTTTCTGCTACTGATCCTCTCAGCGACAGCTTATATACAATAGGTCAAGTCAAATGATATATTTAGAGCACACTGCCTGGCACAAATAACACTCAATTTGTTTCAAAGATCTCCAATATGAATTCTCAGCTAGTAACACACCCTAGGCTGAACATATAACCATAAGCATCCATAAAAAGTTGCACAATCAGCAATTTGGAGGGAAACTGTCATAGCAAACACAGGTAACATCTTACCAATCATGTCTCCCTGATCATGGATCATCATAGCCAAATCTTTAAATATCTGGTTCACATCCAGGATATCTGCCTGAAGGGAAGAAGGTCATGAAGAGTTACTCTCTCCAAACTGCATGTTTACAGAACCCATTTGAAAAAGTAACACAAATGGATATCCACTCTACTATGGTTTAGATCTAAATAACAACACCCACATGATGAGGCTTTCCTGCCCACTTTTCTGCTATAATAGTTTGATCCCCTGAAAAGTGACTCCTGGGAAACTGTCTTAGTATTATTTACAAGCCTTTGAGATGACATAGTTAATAGGGTGGTATAAAAATGCCAAAAATAATAATTACATTTTTATTTTTGGATCCAAGTCCTCACATCCCTTTGAAATGAAACATTTACAACCACATTTTCCAGAATTTATGAAGAAGTCTCTGTCTTCAAAACTTGGATGAGTTTCTACAACTTATCCCCCGTTCAACACCAAAGAAACATCATTGGTTCCATCTGCCTGGTTCCTATATTCCAAAGTGCGGCTTCTTGCCCACCTGACCTGCTTATACCTCCTTCAAGCAGATCTCCTTCCTTTTCCTAGTAGCTCCT